CCATGAGCTGTCCATGTCCTGGAGGGTCTCTTTTTAAAACATCTTAACTACATGCCATGTCTATATGCTTGCGATTATATATATTGTATAATATATGAAGCCATTTCGTCTAAAATGTTTATATCAGCGCAACTGCTGGTAGACAAACTAATTGAAGAATGCTATGAAGCATTTTAAAGTAGTGCTTTATCTATTATTAGCTGCTTGTAGCTTATATATCCATTGATTTTTGTGTTCAATTATATTAAGCATAACTCTCAGCAATATGAATTCCTGGCTACTTAAATAAGCAGGCACAAAAACTATAGAAATAAATACCATCTTTGGATTGGAAACCACATGAATGTTTGCCACATAACTAAAAACATGCCAATTCTCTCCTGGAAAATGTAAAATGCATTCTTTCTGACCACCAAATTCTCTCTATCAGTACAAAATCTATTGCATTACTGGCTCTCTTCCAGCATTCAATGGGGTTATTGTATCTAGAAAAGGGGTTATTAAAATCAGTTTAAATTTTTTACCATAAGAACAAGAATGTGTAATGGTTATGGTGCTGCTTTTCTGATTTGCTTTCTCCTGGTTCTCCCAGTGGGTGCCAGTAGCCATCCTCTGTGGCTACTATCTGGAACGGAGCAAATTAACCTTGTCCACTGGTCTTTATCTCTATTCTTCTTTTCTTTTCTGTTTTTTATTTCCCCTTCCAGTCAGTTTTTGTCTCCTGGCAACTGCCTGAACAAGACCCTGCAGTTTTCTTGGCAAGGTTTTACAGAAGTGGTTTGCCATTGCTCCTTCTTCAGGCTGAGTGAAAGTGACTGGCCCAAAGTCACCCCATTGGATTCATTCTAAGGGTGAGACTATAACTCATAGTCTCATGGTTTCTACTGCTATTTGGGAAGCATTGAAGAAAATTCAGAAACTTTGGCTCCAATAACCATTTGTCCTGAAAACTTGTAGGGAGGTGACAGATGTTACATTCAGTCAGGGGAAATTGGCAGAGCATAAGAGGAGTAGGGTATGAAGCTATAGGGAGTGTCCAGAGTCTCCCAACCAAACTCTATCACATGGGCAACAACTTTTTTTCCTGCTAGTTAGTGATACTGAGTGGGAGGGGAAAGGTTGCCAAGGAATTGACCAATCACTGCCCTACATTAAATGTGCATTGAAAAATGCTCTCTGATTTCATTGTAGCAGCAGAGTAAAGCTGATGGTGGGGGCAATGAAAATTAAGTAAACATACATTCCTGTCACATCAAAGATGGAAGAAAGCACATCAGAAAGCAGCGATCAGTAAGTGCCCTCAGATGCCTATTTCTGATTATGAAGGAGAAATTTAGGGACACATTTCCAAGAAGTGGAAAAGGCCAGAAAAGACAAACACTTTCTAGTTATTTCAACAATAGCTTCCTCTACTAAACACATTTTTTGCCCTTCATATCAGTCAATATATTCATTTATACTTTTTTTAAAATATACCTGTTCTTTCATATGATACTTTTATACCATAGAAACACTTATCCTGGTAGCCTACCAAATGAAAGATTGAACTTGTGCATAGTTCTTTGTAGATCAGACAAGCTAAGATAAGCCATTGGTCATTCTGGAAAGTCATACATCAGATCATTTTTTTATGAATGAGGTAAACTGCCATATCTTGTTCATAAAAGTGTACAAAATTCACTTCAGCTGGGTTTTCAAGTGTTCAGCTGAGCACTAACACTAGCTTAGGAAGAGAACCATAAGGATTTGGGTCTGTTGGGTGGGTTCATTTTCAAGCAAATTCCTTATTTATGAAAATATTATATTTCTTGACAGACCATCAATAAGGATTATATAGTTCTAGCTGGTAATTGAGTTGAAAGAGAAATTGGCCTTGAGAAATTATTAGAATGGTCTATCTCTTTCTCTCAAGACCCTCTTAAACATGCATAAACTAGGCCTCGTTTGTAGTTACGAACAATTGTAGTATGGTTTACATTGACATTTATTTTGCTATAGTATAGGAATGCTCTTCTTATAAGAGTCATAGTTTGTAGAGGCATCTGTCTATACTCAAATAAATGCAAATATAAGAGTATTGCAGGCCAGCTATTTTAATGCCCAAAGTCTGGAAGTAATAGGAATAAAATTTGTTTCCCCATCTCACATTTAGTCATTGTAAGCAACAGTCCAGCCTCTGTCTGCATTTCCTGCAGACAGCTCTTATTATAGCAAATATGGGGAAGCAGAAATATTTGCACAATTTCTTTGTTCTTTTCTACTACCATAAAATGATTAACATGGTATATTTATTAAAAGATCAGATATTAACTGAAAATACTTTGATCAAATATTCAGAAAGGTGGCAAGCATTGAAAATTGCCTAATCGAAGGTTTTAACCCCTGGAATTGTGAGTATGTTTTAAATCCAGGTGTTACACGATTTCTGAAATACAGGCTTTTATAAAATTATAGGAAAATGAAGGAAGGGAATATTTGATTTTAAAAAGCTGCATTCTTGTTCTTTGTTAATTCTGAGTTAATTGTATTTACCATTTTGGAAGGAGATTTTATTAATTCCATTTTCCAGTAAGATTTTGAGATTTTTGTCTGAATTATTCTTCCATAATTCTCAGATATGTATATAAAAGAAATCTGTTGGGTATGTATTTTATTTCAAAAAGTTGTTATCTGCCAACACAAACTCCACTGTAGCATGGACAGCAGTAACAAATGCAGCAGTAACAAATACCTCGGCTTATATTCATCATATGGAGCAAGGAAAGTTCCCTTAACCTAACATGAATTTGAGAAAGCTGCATTTAAAAATAGTGGAGAAAGTTGAACACTAAAAAGCACATCTAGTAGAAAGTCCTATGCATAAAATAAATATTGCAAAAAAAAACAACCATCCAAAATTTGTATATAAGGAGCCTACAAATATACCTTCTCTGGTTAGTTCATGATACTTTAAAAGCCCTAAAATAGGCTAATCGTAAAGGCATGTAAGGTAAATTGTTCCTCTTTTGGAAAACATATCCTCCCTTATTACAAGTACTCATACTTTTTTCTCCTTGACTGATGCTCGACCTCCAATATTTAAGCAAATGTATCCATTTACGTGAAATTTATACTTCAGGAATGCCCCTGTGGCCCCTGAAAAAAATTAGACGTAATTCCTATAAAACCTATAAAATCTCTTTTCACAGGCTGACTTTTAATATACCAGGATAGATTTATTAAACATTGGAAAAGTATTGTTATCAATAGTAATTGTTAGATACTAGCTTCAGTTATAGTGGTTTCCACCAAGGTCCTCTGTTCCGGCGGGAACAGAGGTTTAATCTCATTGGTCGAAGGGTCTGTCAGCTCCCTATAAAAGAGATTTTATAGGTTTTATAG